GCCTCCTTGCAGGACAAGAGCAGGTCTTTGTTCTGTATTTGGGAAAGCAGTAAAAACAAAAGCCAAAATGGGACAGAGTGAATAATCCTTGGCTAAAGTAATGCTACAGAGGCTGACCTCATCCACGAGACTTTTTTCCTCAAGCACATGTTGGTGGGGGCCAGAGGTCAGCCTCAGAGGGACACAATGGGCTTCTGAGGGAAAAGGGCTAGGATACAGACTGCCTGCCATCTGGTGGTATTCTGCCTGGCACAAAGCCTTTACTTTTCTCACAGATACAGAGAATAGAGTGACAAAGGATGAGGAGTAAACTTTTAAAGATTCTATTTGATAATTATGGTAAAATATGCCTCGCAAAATTGATCCTCTTTACAATTTTCAATTCGGCGGCGTTAAGCATCTTCACACTGCTGGACTGCCACATCACCACCCATTTCTACAACCCTCCTCTTTCTGCAGGAGCGAAACTAACACACCGAACAGGGATTCCTTTAGTCTCCATGCCCTCAAGTCACTGGCAATAACTATTTTCTACCTTCTGCCTCCATGAACATAACCACCTCATAAAAGAGAATCACAAATTTGTGTTCAACTGTGGTTTGCTTACTCTACATAATGTAATGTCCTCAAGGTTTATTCATGCAATAGCATCTATCAGAAGCTCTTTACTTCTTAAGGCTTAATGGCATTCCATCAATGTGTGCGCGTACACATTTTACTGATCTTAACTACTGACAGACATCTGGGTTACTCCACCTCTTGTAAACCACAATGCTGAGAATATGAGTGGACTAGTATTGCCTTGAGACTGCTCATATATACCAGAAGTGAACCTGCTAGATCAAGCGGTTCTAATTCTTTAAGGAATCAGCCGTTCCACACTTCACATTCCCACCAACAGTACATAACAGGGTTCTGATGCCTCCACATTCTCACCGCCGCTTGTTAATTTCTGAGTTTTGTTATCTGTTCCTGTATGGCAGCACTCCCCTCCCCCTCAAGACACCCCTGACCCTGTGGGTTGAGGTTACCTCACTGTGGTTGTCAAGTCCTAATGCTGAGCCTCTTTTCATGTGCTGACCGGCTCTGATACAGATCATTTGGAAGGTTCTGCCATGACTTTTGAAACTAATGAGGAAGCAGCTGGCCCTGGACCTAAGCTGCTCTAAAGAAGGTCGAAGCTGGATCTCCTGCTTGATTCTGTCCACAGATACATTTTACATTGGGGCGGGGGCATCTAACTAATGAGGCTGAAATGGAGCCTGCTACGTGACTGGCCATCTGCCTTAGAAGAAGTCACTCTCCTATGTATCCGAAGTGGGGACAGCAATAAAAAGACTGTCTCCATCTGACACAGGAGCACAACCACAAGAGCCCAGCTTTTGAAGTCCACACCCTAAGCCATCGGTTTATTCTCTGCAACTCTGTGTGCTTGATCTTAGGGAGACAAAAATGGTCACAGAAGCTCCTGGCTCTTGACTTGTGGACTGTCACAGTCAGTGAAGGAAGTGGGCCTCTGGGTTGCAGTTTGCTACTTTTGTCATCTAATGGTGACCTTAAGGGGAAGGGCTGCTGGGCCTCTCTGTTGTCCCTTCTAATCTGCCAAAATCCACAGGGTACTCCAGAGTCAGACACTGTAGGTATGAACTGCCAGTGTGAGGGCAACTGTTAGATATTCCTAGACACACAAAGAGGAGAACTCTAGGGTAGAAGTCTACAGCCAGCAGCAGGCTGGGACTGAAAGACATCCTTCCTGAGCAGAGGACAGGGTGAATTAGGAGCTGGGGATATGGTTCAGTTGCCACTTACCTAGCATTCACAAGACACTGGGTTCATTCCCCAGCACCCCATAAACTGGGTGTGGTAGTGCATATCTGTCTAGCACAGAAGGTGAAGGCAAGAAGATGACAAGTTCAAGGCCAGCCTCAGCTACCTAGCAAGTTTGAGGCCAGCTCAGGCTATATGAGACCATGTCTCATAAAACAAAAAAGTCAAGAATTTTCACACAACAAAATTTTGTCATGAAGATGGCCTACAGAGAAATAACATTCATTTCTTTGAGATATTTTAAGTAAGAATGTTAAAATAGCAATGGACTGTGGTCATTTCCAAAGTGTATGTGATCTTTAGGTTTAAAATTAGTCCTTTTTCATCTGTAAATCTGTAATTTTATGAAAATCTTATGACTAAGAGGAGGCAGCTGGTTTACAACCAAAACATGAGCCTTGATTTCCCTGTGACCTGAAGGCAGCAAGCATGCCTTTGACATTTTTGAGCAACATTTTTATCTTATTGACTTGTAATCCCATCTAAAGGACCTCCGAAACCACCAATGATTTTTTAAAAGGTTCCTTAAAAACCCTTCTCTCTTGAGAAGCCCAAATCCAAATCCACAATTAGGTCTGGACTGTCCTTTTCCCCAAAATATCTCTCTCTCTCTCTCTCTCTAACACCCATCCTTAAATCTATGACAAAGCTCCTTCTTTTTTAAAAAAAGTATTTATTATTGTATGTGGTGGTGAGAGGGGGGCCGTGCATACCACAACACGTGTGTGACAGTAGAGAACAACTCTGGGAGAGGTCATACATGTCACAGCACATGTGTGGAGGTAAAGAACAACTCTGTGGGTCCATTCTCTCTTCCTACCTTGACGTGGAGGATTCCAGGGACTCAAACTCAGGTGACCAGGCTTGCATGGCAAGTGCCTTGATATTACGAGGCATAATGATCCATCTTGCCTGCCTCTTAAAGTCTTGCCTTAATAAACTCTGGCTTCACTTCATACCAATTCATTCTGAAATTCTGCAGCATAGGCAAGAATCTCAGCTTCACTTGCATGGAGTCCCTCAAAAGAACTCCTTAGACTGCTACAGGTGGTAGCAGGCAGTTTCTCTTACTCCATCTCCAGCTGTCCAAAACATTACTACTTTTAAGTTAAGCAGCTTTTTAAAATTAGTTTTTGAAGACAGGGTCTCATGGATTCCCGGCTGGTTTTGAGCTTGTTAAAGATGGCCTTAAACTTCTAATCCTCCTGCCTCAGCCTCCCAAGGAGGGATGGGATCATGGGTGTACATCACTATGCCCAGTTTACGCAGTGCAAGGGATCTAACCCAGGGCTTTGTGCAGATTAGACTAGCACTCTACCAACTGAGCCATATGCCTGGCCACTTAATTGTTTTTATTCTTGTGATAATTTGAGAAACACACCAGGGGAGCCTATCCTTTACTAGACAATGTCTCACTTAGAAACCTGAATGGTGGGCTCACAGGAAACATTCTGTGGACACCTGTTAACTGATGAAAGCAGTTTCTAGATTAGAAGGCTGAGTTGGACACCAACCAAAAGCAAGAATTCTCCTCCATGAGGTATGGCTGAAAGGCAGATGCACAGACCCATGAGGATAGGTTTCCTTTATTAAGACAGTATAGCTGAGGGTTAGCGATCAGAAGGGGAGGGAAGTCAATAGCAGTGTGCGTGTTAACAGAGGCAAATGCCGACCAGCTGTTCAGTATGTCCGGTCAATTCTGACACCAGGAGAAAGAAAACAGCCTTAAAAACTGCAAGAGCTCATTCAACATTTATGAGAAATTTATTGACAGACAGGTTAACTCCTAAGAGACACTATGTAATCACCGTCCCTGAGGAGTTTAACAAACTGGAAAGCTATTTATCTGTCATGCTTCAGCTATGATTTTTGTCCAGAAACGAGAGAACAGATAAGTCAAAATTTTAGCAACGTCTGGACCCTGCTCCTTTCCTGAGGTTTCTGTATGATATTCAAGTTCCAAAACTTTTTGATGTTTGGAAAGGTGCTGACACCAAAATAACAAAACAGAAACAAAAAGTTCACTAAAAAGTTAAAAAGCTTACCTGAGCACAGCAAAGTACACACTAGGAACACTGTAGTGCAATAATATGCTTTAAGGAATACACATTAGCTATGCAGCAGGGCCCTCAGATGATAGAAAGGTAATAAATAATATAAGTAAGGGCCCTGTGGACTAAATAGGGCATTAAAACAGTATATAGCAAAGGCTACACACTGTGCACATACTTTCACATAATTCTATTTATTGAATAATCATAATACTGACATTTTTAAGTTGGTCACAATCCCACGAAACTTAAAAATAAATCCTTATTTTCCATGTTCTCTAGACTTTGCTCATATCAATGTGCTATATACAGTTTTTTAGCTAAAAATCACAAAGAAGAAGATTTCCCCCCCCCCTCTGGCTTT